AATGAAAACTCATTAGGATAAAAATCAATTTTATTATTCATTATCAATATATATATATATATATATATATATATATATATATATATTTAATGCTAGAACATTCTAACCCAAACAATTAAATTCTGTTTTTTTTTTTTAAAAAAAGACATCAAACAATATTCTTTGAATGATACAGATTAGTTTATTCGTATATTTACAAATACTTAAAAAAAAAACAAAATAAATTACTAAATATTATTTGTTATTTTTAAAATAGATGTATCATAAAATATTATATTCAAATTAATATTTTGTGATAGAAATAGCTTAAAGAATTATTTGGCTCTTCGAATAGTACTGATGTCATATATATATATATATATATATATATATATATATATATATATATATATACTCGCAGTACTTTATTCAGATAAATATCAACATCATATATTACATGTTATATTCTATCAATTTTAATAATTGTGAGTTAAATAGATATATCCATGAGTAACATATTTAAAATAAAAGATTCTGTTACAAATGGTTTGGCTTAGAGAAATAGCGTAGAAAACTCTTCGAATAGTACTAATATGGTGGATATACTTGTGGCACTTTGTCCAGATAAAATTTAATATCTCATATTGCAAGTTACATTTTAACGATTTTGATATTTATGAATAAAATAGATATTTTGGAAGAGGAGCATGTTTCAATAACAAGGTTGTAATACAAACAGTTTGACTTGGAGAATTTTTTAAACAAGGTTCTTCGAATAGTACTTACATTGAGAATATACTTGTGGGTCTTTGTCTAGATATAAATATCAATATCTCACAGTGGGGGAAGAATTTTAGCAATTTTAATTAAAATAGATAAAATAATTGAAAGACTTTTCTACAAATGGATTAGCTAAGAGATTTTTTGTTCCCAAAGCCCTTCGAACAGTACTGGTTATCGTGGATGCACTCGTGGTACTTTTTTCAGATAAATTTACATATCTAATAATGTGAGACATATTTTACTAAATTTGATGCTTGTGAGTAAAACAGATATATCAAAGATCAACATATTAAAATTACAAAATTCTAGAATAAGCAGTTTGACTAAGAGAAATTTTTAAAAAAAGTTCTTCGTATACTACTGAAATCATGAAACCAAAGAATGAGACTCGTAGTACTTTTTATAAATAAATTTATTATATACCGCATAAATATATATTTATATATATATATATATATATATATATATATATAAGTATTTAGATTTAGATTTTTTGTAATTATTCAAAATAAGTAATAAATTTGCTTTTAAGATAAATGTATTTAAAATTCAGAAATGAAAATTAATAAAAGTATAATCAAAAATTTAGAAAAGTTAGAAGTGTTTCTAGTTAGAAATTCCAGTTTTTATTAAGTGTTGTATATAATAATTTAGTAGCAATTTTTGTTATTTGTTATCGTTGGTTCATAAGTTTAAATATGTATATGTATTACTATTATATTGCCAAATAAAAATTATTAAGTATCAAATAAATTCGATTACTTTACATTATTTGTTAAATAAAATTGAAGTAAAATTTATAATTTGTTAGTGTTTAATTTCAAAGTTAAATCTATTGTAAGCTAGAAAAATTTAAATATCTAATGTTGAATGCAAACATTTTATATATATATATATATATATATATATATATGTTTAATTTGAGTTTAATATTCGGGCGTAACATCAATAAAAATTATTTTTATTGATGTTACGCCCGAATATTAAACTCAAATTAAACATATATATCAACATCAAATTCAAGAATATTCAAAAATATATATATATATATATATATCAAATTTTTTTATATAATTTTGATGTTGAAATATGTGATATTCAGTTTTCAGAGCAATACATCAATTAAAAAATTTGTATGACTTTAAAACATTTTTATTTTTTCCATACGTTTCAACACATAGTTTTGTGTCATCTTCAGTGGACTCTATTTTGAAGGCACAGATAAAAATTATTAATTAAAACTAATATATAATAAGTGATATGGTATGAACTTACATGTAATTGTAATAATCCTAATTATTTCCTAATTATAATTGTTCACAATGCACAATGAAACCAATTCTTGTCACTTTAAATTTAACAATAATAAATTTTTTGAATTTTAAATAACTCATTCAAAAAATTTATTATTGTTAAATTTAAAGTGACAAGAATTGGTTTCATTGTGCATTGTGAACAATTATAATTAGAAAATAATTAGGATTATTACAATTACATAGTCCACTGAAGATGACACAAAACTATGTGTCGAAACGTATGGAAAAAATAAAAATGTTTTAAAGTCATACAAATTTTTTAATTGATGTATTGCCCTGAAAACTGAATATCATATATATATATATATATATATATATATATATACTGCTAAATATAATTGAAAATGCTTAATTTGGTGTTAAGATTAATTACATATTAAATGTGTATAATAATATTTTTTTATCATTCGTATTATAAGTATTTGCAAATGTTATGCAAAAGATAAAGTAATAAAGACTAAGTTAGTTAAATGCTTATAAACAAATTTTAGTAAATAAAAATATATGAGTGATAAACGTTTTTTTAAAGTAAATTAAAATGCAAACAATATAGAAATTTTATTATATTATATATATATATATATATATATATATATATATATGTAACCAAAATCTACACAAAAGAATCTCTTAATACAAAAATAGTTAAAAGAAAATAAGAATCAGAATAAAACAATGCTTTCAGAACACATAAATAACCTTCAGCATAACATTGATTTCTTAAACCCGAGTATATTACATTTTGAAACCAATATATTTAAAAGAAGATTTAGTGAAGGTTATCTAATGTCGTTAAACAATAAAACAATTAATAAGAAATAATAATTAATAAGAAATTTGAGAACAATATTATTACTGAATGAAGCGTGTCCCTTTCTTATTACTTTTCGAAACCATATGCTTTTACCAGTTTGCACATTTTTTTAAAAAAATTTTTGTAAACAGAATTCATTCAGCGCTTAGACTTCAACAACTATGTACACAAATTTAGTTTTTGAACTCCAATTCATAATTAGTTTTAATAAAATACTAGTTTGGTGTTATGGACTCTCTAAATGTTAATATTAGGAGCTAAAACTTTCAGAGAGGTTTTTTTGATTAATTTTGAAGCATTTGAGCCCTTGGTAGCAAAAAAATTCGAAAATGTCCATATTAAGGACCACTCTAATATATATATATATATATATATATATATATATATTAACAAAGTCTAGTAATCGGGCATAACATCAATAAAAAACATGAATTTCTTTCAAAAATTTATTTTAAATCCATACGTTTCGGCTATAATCCTAGCCTTCATTCAATGAAAAGAAAAAATAAAATGAGTAAATGGTTCTTACAAATAGTTAATCTTAGTGTTAAATTGGAAGATTTTAATAATCCATGGTATCAGGATATGGTAATGCACTACACTATGCATTATAAACATTAAACTTATAATTGCACAATATTTTCACAAAATACTAATTTAAAAAATCACAAATAGATAGTGTGTTGTTCATAGACTGGTCGAAGATATAATGGAGAAAGGACTAAAAAAAAATATTTTTTACCAAGATTCTACACATGTGTGGAACGAATTTTGAATCCTTTGCGCGTCATTTTTATTGTTTTGTGAAAAATTTGGAAATACTATCCAAATAAAAGAGATTTGTGTTGCACAGCGTGTTAAGTTCATTCCGTTTATTTATTGTTTTATTGCTATAAATAGTTAAAAAAAGATCCTTCTATAATTAGGAATAAATTTTGTTCAAATTGTAGTACAGTCGGGTTAGAAAAGACCATATTGTGCTTTAAAGAGTAAATATGCCCCGCAATCATAGTTTTAAATTGTCTTAGATTTTTTGAATTGTTTTTACGTTGTTGTAAACGTTTCGTTAAGTTCTGGCTTGTTCCTTCTATGTAAATTAAATTACAATCTAGACAATTTGATAGACGAGATTTCTAAGTCGTTCGATATATATAAAGGGGTTATTTTCGTAAAAATAGTACTAGTCGTTGTACTAAAATTGTTTACAAGTCGGAGTCCAGATTTATAAAAAAGTTTTGTTCAAGGAGCATACAATTCTTTAATGTATGGCAAACATATTACACCAGAAAGAGTTTCTGAGTCAGGTAAATCGTTATGTACTGTGGAATTGTCCATTTTATTCAAAAGGTATATGTTCGTCTGTTACTGGTTACGGTGTACAGTACATAACGATTTACCTGACTCAGAAACTCTGAGTTTATATATGTATATATATATATATATATATATATATATATAAATATACATATACGAGGTCTGTTCAAAAAGTACCCGGAATTACTAATAATTAAATTTCGCGGGTCTGGAGTGTCTGATTGTCAAAAATTTTTTTTTATTGTGTTGGTATACATGCCCCTAAAGTATGATGAAATTTTCAGCTATATTCACTGTTTACTTTGTCTGTGGTAGTCGCTAAGGTTCAACGTGTTTTTCTGAGCTCGGCGATTTTTACAATGGAAGAATTGAAAAGTCAAAGAATTTGTATTAAATTTTGCGTAAAAAATGAAATAAAGTGTTGCAAAGTGCAAAAATTCACCAGATATGGCTCCGTGTGACTTTTTCCTATTCCCAAAGTTGAAGAGACCCATGAAAGGACGGCGGTTTTCCTCGATTGAAGAAATAAAGGCCGAATCGCTGAAAGTGCTCGAAGACATATCAAAAAGTGAATATCAAGGGTGCTTCGAAAATTGGAAAAAACGCTGGCATAAGTGTATTATATCTGGGGGGGACTACTTTGAAGGGGACCACATTAATGTAGACGAATAAATAAATATTTTTTTGAAAAAACAAAAATTACGAAAACTTTTTGAACAGACCTCGTATATATATATATATATATATATATATATATATACATTCCTGATAACATAATAAATATTTCCACTGACCTATGATGGCTTTTTGCTCCTGATTGGGGCTAAACAGCACCCTCTCCAACTTGTTCCTGTCCAGCAATATATGAACAGTAACAAATCCCTTCAAAAGTTCACCTCCACTATCATCCTGCTCCAAAAATCCTCCTCCAACAGTCCTCGAGAAAACTTTGTCTTCATTCACATCACTTTGCAAAGCCACTGTATCACTCGATATAAAAGAATCACTGATTTGTGTTTGTAATATTTGTGATGGGGGTGCACTTGTTCTACGTTGTTGGGGAATCGAGATGGTTTGAAAATTATTGGGGATGCTTAGTCGATGGTTTTTAGATGGTGGACTGGCTAGACCGATTTTTCTTTGTACGGTATGGTTGTTTGGACTTGGATTTTGCATCTGAGTGTTTAAAACACTTTCGTTCACGATACCGTTAACCATGGATAAACCACTATCTGATGATGCTTTGGTGACATCAGTCGCCTCCAAAGTCGTCTCCAAACTTTCAATAGTAGTCTCTGTATCGATATTTCTGGTACTCGAGTTAACTATGTTGTGTGAAATCGTTAAATTCAACTGTTCACCTATAATGTTATCGACAGAATGTTTTGCTGTCGATGTACCACCTGCAGCTACATTTTTCAATTCCCCACCAGACTTGGTTTCCTCGTCAATCTTTTCTTTTTCGGCTAAATCGGCAACATTTTGTGCAGGATTTGAAACGATGTCGGTATTTTCGTCGGCTAATAGTGCGTCGGGCGCGGGTTCGATCTGTCGACGCTCCATGCGTTTTGCATTTTTACAGCAATTTCTTCATTTCGCGTCAATTTGACGCCGGAAGCTCACTGGGGAAAGGAAATTCAGTTAAATATATTAATGTGGAAAATATTGATCTTAAATGTATATATATATATATATATATATATATTTGAAATAAATTGCAGCTCATTCGTAAAAAAAATTAATATAAAAGCAATTCCTCATTATACATTTCGACTCTTGAGCCTTTAGCAGTCAAATTCAGAAAAACACAAAAACTAACGACTTAGCTAACGACATAACTAATAAATAATTAAAACAAAAACTAAAAAACAAAAAATAATGTATACATAAATAAAGATATACGGATTATTAAATATGCCACTTAACGGGTACGCACGAGCACTGCTCGCGCACTCTTTGCGTACCGTACCGGGCTATCCCGAGCGCTGCTCGCCAAAACTTTTGTTTAAGTGTTATGCGATAAAAAGCCTACGATGACTATATATTCGGATATGTTTAGTTTAGATATGATAATAACAGTTGAATTATCAGTTGTATATATAAGAAAATAAACTTTAACGACTTTTGGGATGATTAATGAACTCTTAAAAACGCATGTCTAAATATCCATCAAGGAAGATGTTATTGTTATAAGATTGTCTTATTTATAATGGGAATCAATCAATGATTACTGTCGAGGGTTTTATCTCTAATTAGGTAAGGATTTATATATTCTGATTTTAACTTCCGTAGCTATCACACGTACTTTTGTTATAATTATATTTTGTTAAATTTGCTTTTATTTCGCAGAAATTGGTAAGTATGAATCCCAATTATTTCAATTTATCCTTAAAATTTATGTGCCAATATATAATATAATTTTTTTATTATCAAGAAATCATAATTTTGAGAAGATGGATTTAGATTGTTCAGACTGCAGTTCTACATCAACGATTATTAGTTTGGAATCTGAAAGAGAGTTAGACTTTGATGATGAAATTGAATTTGATGGTTGGACTGAAATTGATATAAGTACAAATACTCCACAGCCACAAACTCCTTTTGAATTCATGGGAAATTCTTCCATAAATGAAGATGTTGCATTGCTAACAACACCTCTGCAATTTTTTAATTATTTTTTTGACGACGAATTGGTTGGAAAAATTGTTGAAGAAACAAATGTATATTTTATACAAGAACAGAGAACGGAGCCTTCAACGTCTGGTGCTGTAATGGATTGGAATGTCACAGCAGCAGAAATGCGAATATTTTTTGCAATAGTGTTAAATATGAGTATCGTATACAAGCCAGATGAAAATATGTATTGGTCGAAAAACCCTATTATTGCCACTCCATTTTTTTCCAAAGTAATGTCCAATAGGCGGTTCAAATTGATCAAAAAGTATTTACATTTTATGAATAATGAAACCTATAATTCTGATTTACATCCTTATCCGAAACTGAATAAAATTTGGCCTGTATATGATTTTCTGAATAAAAAATTTAAAACTGCTTATACCCTTCAAAGGGAAATTACAATTGACGAAAGCCTAATGTTGTATAAAGGAGCACTAAGCTGGAAACAATATATGCCCATGAAACGTGCAAGATTTGGCATCAAAAGTTACTTCTTGTGCGAATCGAAAACTGGATATATATGGTCTATGATGATATATACGGGAAAAGGGACAATTATCGATAGTGAGTTCCCAAATTTGCCAATATCATCTCAAATCGTTATGAGTTTGATGAAGCCATTGATAAATAAGGGATACTGCCTCACTATCGATAATTTTTATAGTTCTGTGGAACTATTCAAATTGTTATCGGTTTTCAAAACAGATGCATATGGAACAGTGAGATCTAATAGAAAAGGTTTACCAATTAATATAAAAAATCCAAAAAAAGTGAATCCAGGATACGTAAGATCTTTTAGAAAGGAGAGATTGATGGCCATGAGATGGAAAGACAAAAGGGATGTGTACTTCCTTTCTACAATACACGGTGCAGATCAGGTGGAAATAGAAAAGAGAGGCATCATAAAAATGAAACCCAAAGTGAGTGTTGATTATAATTTTACGATGGGAGGTGTTGATCGCGTCGATCAACATTTGTCGAGTTATCCCCTTCCAAGAAAAAGAGGAAAAAAATATTATAAAAAAATGTTTTTCCATCTCATGGAACTCTCTGAATACAACGCATATGTGCTCTACAGAAAAAAAGGAGGTAGCATGACACATCTTGAATTTAGAATAAAACTAATAGAAGAATATATAGAAAAATATAGTGTTGGAATTTTTTCTGCAAAAGGTGGTCGGCCAAGCAACACCCCTAATCCGCTAAGATTGACAGAACGTCATTTTCTAAAAACTATACCGGCGGTGGGTAGTAAAAGCAGACCTACAAAAAGGTGTGCTGTTTGCTGTTCGAAGCGGGACGACTCCGGAAAACGTGTCCGGAAAGAGAGTCGATACTGGTGCGCCGAATGTGAAGTAGGCTTATGTTTGGAGGAATGCTTCGAAATTTACCACACAAAAACAAATTATTAATTCTTTATTATTATTATAATCTAATTATTTATTTTACCTTGTTATATGTTTTGTGCCTTTAGATGTATTAGTATAAAAAATATATTACACCAAAATGTCAATTTACTTCAGTTTTCTTATATTTTTAGATTATTTTTTAAATTATTTTTTATATTTCTTTCAGATAAATAAATAGTATTAAAATTAATAAGTTAATAACAAAATTTTCCATTAGTGATTGATATTGTATAAGAAGTGGTTAACAATAAAGGTATTGAAAACCGTCAAAACGGTATTCAATATTACGATGCATTTTGCTAATTTTATACAAAAAAATTAAAATGAAATGAAAAATCGTATCAGAAACATATATTACATCACTTAAGCTTTCAAAATCCGAAATAAAAAAACCTGCTCTTTTAGATCACTTTTTTCGAAAAAAAACTCGATCGTTAAGTGGTTAATAAAATTATTCTAATCAGCAAACTAGAACTATTTAATACGTTTGTTTTTCAAATTAAATTGTTACGTCAAATTAATCCTAGACTACTATTCACAATTTTTGTAACACCTTTTCTAATTTGAATTTTTAGGTCAAATTTATTCTGGACTAGTATTTTGAACAGGTTTTTTTCAATTTAATTTTTCAGGTTAAATTTCTCCTGGACTACAATTAACGATTTTTCACCACGTTTCTTTCACTTTGAATTGAATGTCAAATTTATCCGGGATACGATTTCTTTAATACGTTTTTATTTCAATTTGAATTTTTAGTTCAAATTTATTCAGGACTACTATTCACGATTTTTACCACGTTTTTTTTCAATTTAAATTATATGAAAATTTATCCTGGCCTATTATTAACGACTTTTTAACACGTTTTTTTCAATTTGAATCTTATGTAAATTTATCTTGAAACACTAATCACTATTTCTTTAAAACGTTTTTATTTCAATTTCAATTTTTACGTCAAATTTCTCCTGGTCTTATAATATGATTTTGTTAACATTTTTCTTCAATTTGAGTTTCTAAGTCAAATTTATCTTGAACTACTATAAACGACTTTTTAACACGTTTTTTCTCAATTTGAATTTTTAGGTCAAATTTATCCTGGACTACTCTTTTCACTGTTTTTAATACGTTTTTTCAATTTGAATTATATGAAAATTTGTCCTGGAAGACTATTCACAATTTTTCTACATTCACGATTTTTTTTATCCCTTTTTTTTAAATTTGAATTTTTAGATCAAAATTACCCTAGACCTACTATTAACTTTTTTTTTTTTAATTTAAATTTTTATGTCCTGGACTACTATATTAGTTTTTAATAATTAGAAATTGAAACAAAAACAAAAAATTTAATTCAAGAGCAAAAAAAATTGCAAAATATTATAGGCTTATGAAACATATATTATTTATGGAAAATAATAAAATTTAAACAAATACAAGTCATTGTTTTAAGTAAATCTTAGTTTAAAAATCGGTAAAGAAGTACATTTTTAAATGAACAATAAATATTTTTTTTAAATTAGAAATTCTAAAATTCTTAATAGGATTCTAGCGGCCAAAAAATTTCTTGTTTGGTAATCAAATTTAAAATTATTCATCCCTATTTCAAGATATTCAAAACAAATTTTAAAAAATCATAAAAAAAATTGAATTCAAGAAAACCACTAGAAATTCTAATTCGTAATGTATAAAGGTCAGATGAGTCGTTTCTTTGTAATATGGTTATTATTTGTGTTTAAAAGTGAAAAAGATTTAATTTTTTATTTAATTAGAAAATCATTATTAAATTTACAAATTAATTTATATATAAGTTAGGATTCTAGTTGAATATTTTTTATTAAAAAAAGAAGTCAAATAGTTTTGTCAATAAAAAAGATTTTTTTTTAAACATCTTCAATAAACAAATAATTATAAATATTTTAATTTTATTCGAAAGATATCAGTTAGAAATGGTATTCACTGATTTTTGAGAAACATCAGTCAAGCTGTTTCTTCACTCTAAAAGATTTTTTCAAAATTCCTACTAATTAAAAAGATTAATTTTATATATCAAAAACTTGCCTGGTAAATTAATTTATCCAAAAGTTCTTCAAACAGGGCACTTTTTTCATCAATCAAAATCTTATTAATTTTATCTTATGGAACAGGACACGAACAAATCTTTATATCTATATTTATATTTAAAATAATATATAATATTTATATAATATATATATATATATATATATATATATTATATATAATATTTATATTTATACTAATAATTTATTATTATTTTCCACCTATGTCTATAACAGAAGTGACAACATTCGATTCAATTCTCAAGTATTTAAACAAAAACAATTACTTGGAAGTTAAGATAACAAATATGTTGTTTTTTTAATAGTTTACTCGTATCTTATGATAAATAGTCGATCTTAGCCGCATTAACCGCAATAAACCGCTGATAACGTTTAAATAACACTTTAACTAAATCAAAAATTAGATTTTTAAGTAAATTATCTAAAGGTGATAAGTAGATAATTGATAGTTCCAATTGATAATGGTAACACGCGGTTTAATAAAATAATAATAGATAGATTATAATATTTTATGCAATTTAATAATAATATAATATTTATTATATATTTATTAATTTTAATTACATTTATTAAATATCTATTTATTATGTATATGTATTTAAGTTGATATATTAGATTGTTGATTAATTTCTTACTAAACTAAAAATAAGAATATTTTAGATTTATTGATAAAAAATATTTTTTTATAGATTTTCATTTTTTTACTTTTTTTTATTATGAATAAATAATAAAATTATTATGAATAATATTGAATAGTAAAATACCAAGTACTCCACTTTTTTGCACAAACTTTTAATAAAACTTGCCAAGGCACTTTAGTACATTTGTTTGAAAAAAAGGACTTCTCAAAATCGACCAATTTTGAAAATTTTAAATTCATATTTTAATAAAAAGTCTTAATTATAGAAAACTCAGGGCAATTGTATCATCATTTTTGACTGTGGCATTTACGATTACTGTTGCAACACTTAAATAAACAAAATTGATCAAAATTAACCACAATAATCTGAAAATTATCACATTTTCACCAAAAAAGCTCTGGTTTGCACTTAAAAGCTCACAACTTTCAAATTACGTGAGATAAATATTTTTTCTAAGTTTTTCATGATAGTTTGAATTAATAATATCATCTCGTTTCAGCTTGACGTTGAGTTCTGGGACACCATGTACAAATCTTATATATAAAATTCTTCTGTACGGGTGTATGATTTGATACTTCTCCTAAACGGTTATTCGGATTTTGATAATTCTTTTTAGAGTTTGTCAAAGGAAATTTTTAAGACAAAAAACCACTTATCATTGTTTGACATTCAAAACATTTGAACTGTCATTTGCTAGAGATGTTAATTCACTTAAAATTTGAATTTGGTTGAATTTATGAGCCTAGATAATATTAGAATATAATATACAAGAAAAATGTTATGTGTAAATTATTATTGCCGAAAAGCAGCTGAGATGTGCCAGAAATTAAAATAATATAAGATACAGTCAAAATTATATGTGTTTGGCAGATGAAATTATATAATTTAGTTTAATAAATAATGCAATAAGTCCAAAATTGCATATACGTAATTTTTTTTAACTTATGCATGTCGCATTTTGATTTACTTTACTTACTTTACTATTTATCAATACAAAAAAATATATCTACTTATTAAAAAAATGATTTAGAATTTTATATATATATATATATATATATTATATATATATATATATTTATATATAATATGTATATATTTATTTATTTATTTAATTAATATTTACCATTTTATCAACAGTTCATTCCAAATGTGTCTATTCAGATACTGCCTCGAAAAAAACAGCATTTGAGGAAATTCTTGAGCAGTTCCATCCATCAGTAAACTCTTGAAAGTCTCTACAAATATTAAATATCATAAATATATTGAATAACAATATGTCATTATTATTCAAATAACTACACTGTCTTTAAAATAACAAATGCTATTCAAGGATAAGATTTTAAGTAAACATTTGTTTCTTTTAAATTATATTTCATTTAATATAGTGTGTATTATTATCTATTAATTTAAGTTATGTACCATTAATGTCTATAATTGTACAATTGTGTTGTATAAATATAAATATAAATATAAATATAAATACAATATAAAGTTTTTTTATATGAATCATTCTTTGTTACACAAATTTTCGGACTTTTGTTTGTATATGCTTTGTTTTGCTTTTGAGCCTTGTTCTTAAAAATTCAGTTCAATTTTCTTCATAATTAATTTAAAAAAAAAATAGCACTTGTTCGTTTGTTTTCATAATTCTTGTTAATTTACCTTTTAATTTTCGGAAAACCAGGGCAACCCGGAGCAAAAGATCTAAATCCGGGACAAATATTGCTTTTAGAAAATCTCGGGACACAAGGTGGAAATCCGGGACTGTTTGATTTTTTTTTGAAAATGTTTGAACTATTTAAAAACTAGCTGTAAGTGAAATTCTGTCTTGAGGCAATTATGGCATCGTGCAAATTGCTGGAACTTCCCGTACCGTAACGAAATGTACGAAGAATACTGAATGTTTTCAAATAGATTATTATAAATATTGTAACATTGTCTAATATTTATAAGAATTATATAAACTGAATTGCAAAGTTGAAATTATTTGTTTAAGTTATATTAGAACTTTAGTCAGAATAAAAATTAAATCTGAAATATTTTCGATATACACAAAACTAAAAAAAAAATAAAAAAAATGGAACAAAATTTTTCTTTTCAAAACCAATTATTTTGTTAAGACAAGCAGAAAGTTCTTTCAATCATTTAAATCGGACGCTTAGTTCTCTCAAAAACTGCCATTTTTTACATTTTTATCTCCGTATCTTCAAAATGGCTGGGCCTGCCTTTGCCAAAAACTAATAAACACTTCTCCCAATCATTACTAATTGAATGTTTTTTAGATCATTCAAATCGGATACTCCGTTCTCTCAAAAATTCGATTTCTATTTTCTGTACTCTTTGCTCCGTATCTCCGAAACGGCTGGACCTGCCTTTGCCAAAAACTAATCAGCTCTTTTCCCTGTCAATAGGAATCGAATGTTTTTTGAACCATTCAAATCGGTTGATCCGTACGCCCGAAAACGTGCGCGAAAATTTGTATCCATACATACATACACACACACACACATCCATTTTTTCTGAGGTATGCCAAAACGTTCAGAAACCTTCAAAACGTCGAGAAATGTAAAAATTTTCAATTCCGATTTTCGGCCCATTACAATAACTTACCCAACGGGAAGTTAAAAATTAGTTTAAAAATAAATACACGTGATATCTTACTATACCCCTCCCTCCCCCACGTAATATTTCGCAATTTTTGAAAAAAAAATTCGTGAAAACCTCATGTGATTAAAAGTAAAATAGCATTACTATAACATTTCTATTTTATTCGAGAATCGACCCCATAATTTCCGTCCCTTGGTTTGAGAAACAATGGAAATGTGTGTATATATATTATACAAGTATGTATATTATTGATATTATTATTTCGTGGTCGTTGTGTGAGTTTGACCCCAGAGATAAAATTGTGTTTGAGCGTTTGTTGTGCGTTATTCAGTTTTTTTATGTAAATTACTATAGCGCCGGAAATGGCATGAAGATCTCGAACTATAGATTATTCACAGAACATTCTCACTCGAACGGAGAAACGAATTTAAATATACGGAAATCTGTATATATATATATATATATATATATATATATAGGGTAGAACGGCGTTTAAAGATACGCGGGTAAAAAAGTCCACCACCGACATGTCAAAAGCAAGCAAAGTTCGGAATAATTCAATAACAATATTTGAAAGTAGAGGGCAAAAAATGTATAACCACTCATTACCTTAATACTTATCACTTCTGTATCAGGAGATAAACGGCAATGTCTGAAAATCTATAACAAAAGTATTTTCTTTCGTTGTTCGTTTTTTTTGGTTGTGAGTACTAGAGCACTGTTGTTTAGTTTACGAGACCTCAATGTAATTCTTAAGTACACATTGTTTAATTGTTTTATAAGATGTATTGTTATTTGTAAATTAAATTCAACGTTTTTTTATATAACCTCTATGAAAGCACACACATGGGTGGGGTAAAAGGACCAACTGAGTGTTTACCCTGATAAAAGCGTAAATAATATAAAATAGTACATAAAGTTTAAAAAGCAATTTTACAAGAAACAAGATAAATAAATAGTTATTATAACCCTGCTGGTGTTTTTTTTTTCTGACGAAATGCCAGATCTAGGTTATATACAGCATTATCTCTGTAAAAAATGTACCCATAAATTTTATATTTCACATTGGTTGAAAAATGGGGCTATTATTTCATAAAATCCCTTTAAAATTAATAATAAGACTTTGCTTGTGTTTACCTCCTGGTCGTTCCATTTTATCACGCCTGTGGGATATAAAGGACCAGGTGACAAATATTTGAAAAAACAGCAAAGAAATTATGATGTAATGATGCTGGAAGTTTTGCTGAACATAGTCAGATAGTTGTTTGTTTAATATGTATTTTTTGTGATGTAATTGGTTTGGTTCAATGAATAAATAAAAGCGTGACAGTTTTTAGAAATTTATTTAAAATCCATACGTTTCGGCTAGCATTTTAGCCTTCATTCAGTGGCATTCAAGATGAAATTTTTCATCCTAATATAACAGATAGAAACATTACTACTCCATGGTATGAGTATGTGCACAGTGGTAAATTATATATTTTTTAACATCACAAATAAGCATGAATAACTTTTAATAAGTTGTCTAAACTATTGGAGTCTAAGATAAAAATGTCACGATTTTTCTTAAAGCATATTTTACGAGAAATTTAAAAAGCGATGGGATATTGTATTTTTCAAGAAATTTGGACACGCTATTTAGGAACCACGTGTTTGTTTCGTTCAGGACCGTATTGTCGAATCGTTTGTTTATAACCCTGTCGTTATGTAATTGCAAAAACAACCCCTCAGCAAATCTTCTTTTAATTACACGTTCTCTTCAAAATGTAAAATTTTGAAATAAATTTCTAAAAACTTCCATATTATTTTTATTGGTGTACCGACTCGAATAAAATATATTATATCAACTTTAAATTCAAGACTATTCAAAAAAAAAATACTATATATTTATATATATATATATATATATATATATATATATATATATAAATAAATCATTGGTTCAAATATTTAAATCTATATATAGAACAACCCTCTCATTTTATTTCAACGAAATAAATATTCATTGTTCAACGATTTTTTTTTAAATCGCATTGACCTAAATATTGCGTTTTGTGTAAAATCTGACGTGGCTATTATATCGATTATCTATATATTTGTATCTATATATGTGTACATCTATCGGGGGGTAATATTCATTTCGAAATGAGATTATTGCGAAAGCCATTTCTGCCAATTAAAATAGCTTTCACGCCAACATTTGTACGACTCAAATGCAAAATGTTTCGATCGCGACATTAAAATTCGACACACACGATGACAACAATAATATATATGTTAATGTGTACATTATGTACAAATGTTCGATTATCGAAATCGACCGATGATAATTATCAGACAAATCATAAATTATTTATGAAAACTATTATGGGTTCCGATTCGAAAATTTAATATTACAAACCAGAATTTTATGCAGAACGTGAATTAGTTTGAAAAGATTAGAGCAGTGAAAATTTCAACATGATGCCTTTATTTTATGCAGAAATCGGTAAAACAGTTTTTTTGTCATCAACTGATAAAGATGAAATTTTTACAAAAAAATCAATCTTTTGATTTTTTTCAACAAATTTAATTTGTTTAATATAATTGTCATTTTATCATTAGTTTTGCTTTTACTTTATATTATTTTTGAGAATTATTTTATAAAATTTTATTATTAAATTATATTATTTTTTATATAATTTTTACAGTTTTATACATTTACCAAGAGTCAAATTCATCCTCAAAACGTATGAAAGCTTTTCACATTTTTTTTAAATCTTTCTAACATCTGGATGTAGGCAAGTTGCAAAAAAAATATTCAATATATCTTGTATCATCTGACAACATTATTGCAAATACATACATACGCACACATGTACACCCACACATATATTTATATATACAAGGTATCCCAGACCTCAACATCAAGCCGAAACCCGGTGCTAGTATTGGTCGTAACTATCATGAATAAAATTATTCCTTGTAGTTTAAAAATTATGAGTTTTTAAGTGCAACCTAACTATGACCATTTTTCGGTTATCGTAGTCAAATTTTATTAATTTTGTTCATTTCAACTCCGCAACCGTAAACGTGAATAACATTTCTAAGATCAGACTGAAAAATAATTACGCAATTGCCCTTAGAAAAATAAGACTTTTTGTTAAACTATGATATTAAATTTTTCAAAATTTGGTCCAGTGTGAAAAGCCTTCCTTCAAAAAATATTAAATAATGTCCTAGCAATTCCCAATTAGTAATTTACACACATTAAGTTTGCTTGTTGTGTTTGGGTTATTATTTTTTACTCATTTTTTTATGACAAAATTATCAAGTATTTTACCATTTTGCAATCCTAATTGTAAATAAAATGCATGAACTTTTAATAAAATATGCCAATGCACTTTGATACATTTTTTTTTTAAAGAAAACCTCTCAAAGTCGACCCATTTTAAATATTTTAAATTCATAGTACAACAAAAAGTCTTAACTTTCAAAAACTTGGGGGCGCAATTGTGTCATTAATTTTAACTGTGGTCCTAGAAATGTTTATCATTAACTACAATTACCGAAAAATATTCACAATTTTACCAACACTCTAGGTTAGATTTAAAAGATCAAAATTTTCAAACAACGTGAGATATTTCAT